TCGGCATTCTTCAGCACGACGGCCGGATAATAAGTCTGCGACTTTTGTTGCGCGTTTAACGCAAATGCAACGCCCAAATCTACGCCGTTTTTGGAAAATTTTATTTCACCCCTCGCCAAATCGAGGAAACATCCGATTACATCGTGCATTCCGAAGGCTTCCCCATAATTGTCAAATTGCTTTGCGTTCGATTTTTTTCCAGTACCGCCGAATCCATAACCGAATCTATCTGTTCCTAAATCCAAAGCAGCCTGTTCCAAGAACAAAATTCTTAGAATTATAATATAAGGAATTTAGAACAGTGACAATTATATAAAAATACTTGCCTGAGGCGTAGACCAACCCACTCGGCACAAGCCTTCGTCAGTAACTATGGCCTCAAAAAAGTACTTGCCACTTCCTGAAATCCCTTTATTTGCACGGCAACCATGCCATTCTTTCTGTTCTCTACTCTGACATCTTAAACCATCCGGTGTTACTGCCAAGGCTCGTCCCCTGTCAAACAGGCTTAATGCCCAGTGTGTTGCTGTAAGATGGCAAAATAATTGTATTGCACTTTCCAACAATGAAATTTATAACACAATGCTTGTAACTGCCACAATTTAATACACACATTGTTGAGCCTGTGCAACAGCTCCAGCTCCTTTTCCAGACTCCAAATCTTTGAGAGTCTCCCAGACTATTTGTAAAATAGGCAAGCAGAAGGCACCAGTTTTTCCACTGCCAGTTTCCGCAGCCATCAGTACATCTCCACCACCCAGGATCAGCGGAATGGCCTCAGCTTGAACATCAGTTGGTAGTCTGTAATTTACAATCTCTTGAAAATAATCAGATTAAAATATAACTATCTGTTAGATTTTTCTATTAGATCTGTTACATTTTTTTCAAAATGAATATTACATCGCAATTTTACTCACGTCCAATCTAGTTCATCTACTGCTTTTGCTATTTCTGGCAAAACACCCATTTCTAAAACATGAGAAAATTAATTATGATATGATTCCGACAATATATGATGCAATAATTATTACACAAATTATTGACACTTTTGAATTCATATTTTACAATTTGCACAAGCTAAAATTATAAATAACTTGTTATAGATACTTACCTTCGAAGGCAGTCATTTTTTCACAACTATATTTGACTGTGTTTCCCTAAATATACGAAAAGCCGGCAGATTGCGGCAGATCAGCTGCTCTTGCAATGTCTCGCAATTCGCGTTCGCGATGCTGTTGCCGTTTCTTCGAATAACTAACAATCGTGATATTCGTGGAATTTCTAGATACAATGTAAGGGTACGTTCAGGAATCATATTCGTAGGGACAAGAAGGAGCAAAGATTTCTTTGTTCTGATTGGTCAATTAAACAGTACTTTACCCTATGAGTAGGATTTTTGAACACACTCTAAAACATTCGTAACATTAGCGTACTTCACACCACATCGACGTCGTATACGATTATATGTCGTTTGGTAAATAATATGTTTTTATAATGTAACAAGGATAAATAAGTGATTCCTGGATGAAACTCTGACGAGATTCAGAAATATCCTGGCAGAGATGATACTTGGCATCGTTTATCGATTTACTGAAAGATAGCACCGCGAAAATGACACCTAAACGGAAGGCAAGTACATTTAAAGGTTATGACATGAAGTTGTTTCTTCTTCTCCCTTCACAATTTGAATATACATTTACTTTAATTCAAATACAGAATGTGTAATAGAAAGTTTAACTGCGCTACAATTGATTCTGGAGACTTAATTGACTTGTTATTAAACACTTTTTATACTTAAAGTAAACAATTATATATAATCACGATACAATATCGTTTTATAGACAACCAGTTCGGAATCTACGTCAACGACCAGCTCGGGTTCTTCCTCAAGTAGCTCATCGAGTTCAGGCAGCGAATCCAGCTCGTCCGACTCCGAAAATTCCAGTAGCTCCGCCAATAGTCAAAAAGCATCTGATACAGAGAGAACCAAGAAGAAGGTGCCATTTCCAGCCACTCGTCATGTCAAATCCAAAGCTGAAACGGCTTTCGTGCCGCCTTTGGATAATAAAAATAAAGACAGACAGCCGCAGAAAGCCAGATCAGTGGTATACTCTTCTGAATCGGAAGAATCACCTAGCAAAGCAAAATCACCGCAAAAGAGAAAACCACCAGCAAAACCAAAAGCCACTGCTACTGTAGCACCAGTTGTTAAGAGATCTCCTACGAAACCAGTACCAGTACTAGCAGGACAGCATAAAGCTGCAGCTGTTTTAAAACCCGTTAATAGCAAGCCCAACAAATTTGTCGGTGCGTTTATATGCTACATAATTCCATCATTATTCTATATTCTGTAATAAATTATATATTTTTATTTCAATTTTGTTCTAAAATAATGGTTGATAACTTTTCAGATTCCATGAGCGCCAACAACAGCAAATCTCCCGATAAATCCGGGAAAGCAACGGAACCGGTCCAGAAGAAGTTAAAAAAGAAAAGTATATTCAGCCCGGAGAATAGTAGCGAAAGCGACAGTGGTATCTTGGCGAAAGTTAACACAGTCAAACCAACGAGCAATTCCACAAAATGTACCAAAAATTCCCCAGCTAAAGCAAAGTTAAATGATACCAAACAAAAAGCTGCGGCAACAAGCAGACTTGGTAAATAATTGTATTACTGAGACATGAACGTATGGAGTGTTTTTTATATAAGTTTGACAAACATATAATAAAATTTCTGATGTTACTTGCAGTCACAAAACCCGCGCAACCGCAGAAATCTGAGAGTTCCGCTAGCTCGAAAAGTTCCGGCGGCTCAGCATCTTCGGGAAGTACAGACAGCAGCACTGATTCGGAATCGTCTGAAAGTATCACCAGTTCTCAGCCTCAACCGAAAAAGAAGGAAACGCAGCCTAGCAATACGAATACTATAGCAAGCGTACCACCTAAAAGACCGTCGGCGGCAGTCGCCCCGGTAAAATCGCAAAAAACAGTTACTAAACGACAAGGTTTGCTAATATACAATTTCTTATTTAATATATTGTCATATAACATTGGCGAAGAAAAAAAAAGATAATTTTGTGTGTTTAAATAGGCGCTATAAAGAGCGACGATGACGGAGATGCATCTGCGAGTGAAAAAGAAGACGAAGGAACATTGGCCTCGAAAACAGTAACGAAAGGCAAGCGAAAACTGCAAACGCGCAAAGGAAGTAAATTGCTTCAACTACAAGCGAAGGTGGCCAGCGATTCCGAATCTGATACAGGTATACGGAAACCAATAACTTAACCTAATTTGCATTTGACTGATTTCTTTATCATAGTTTATTTGTAATATCTTTATTCTATGTTCTGAACTCTTTCATTCGTCGCGAGTTTCTATATATTTAGATGAACTCGAATTACGTTTGTTTAGCTTGAGTCATCGCCACTTATGTATGGTAATGGATTATTATAAGATAATACTTTCTTTCTCGAGGTGGCATTCGGGAAGAGTAGATGCATTTTCTTTGAGCAATGGATTTGGAAGTCTATGCTGCCTCCTTAACACAAAAAAGCAGTATTTGTGCTTTTGGATAGAATGGATCGGATATGTATATGTATGCATATTACAAACTGTACAGTATTTCGATAATCGATGATATGCATTTCTTTATCGTGAATAAAGATAAAAGCAAAGCTGTTCTAAGACGCAGATACGGTTTCTTTTTTGCTTATGGTGGCAGTATGGTTCTCAGGTATGGAAACGGTAGCGTGTAAGCGTATCCTACAGATTGCGCTAACTCGGTGTGATCTGTCAAGAGTAGCCGAGAGCAAGAGGAGTACGAGCAAATCACCCGTTAAACGCGCCGGACCGTCCGCCGCCGCCAGACAAACCTCCTCCGGAGCCGGCAGATCAACGCAGAATAGCAGTATCGCCTCTAATACTACTGGTAACAGGACAAATCAGGCTCCTTACAATCGAGCACGCGCTGCGAAGGAGCGTGAATGTCCGCTGGCTGCGTCCTGCGACTCACGGGGTCATCTCTCTGGAAAACTGGACTCGCACTTCACCCTGGAGGCATGTCCTCTATATCACAATACTACGCCGCAGGCTTGCATGTAAGTTGCAATTCAAAAATAAAATCAATCGTTTTAATAATAATTGAGAACAAAACTCAATCGAAGATTTGTTAATATTTCGTATTTATCGTATTTATGGAATAAAGAAGGACGGCTTTTCTAGAGAATTTCATAAAGAGAGAAAAAAGCGGGAGGATGAGCGCAAGAAGGCCGTAACGAATCTGGCCAAGAAACCCAAGGGGGTTCATCAAACTACTGAGCAGCGCAATTACCAACTTAAAGTACGAGAGATGAGGAACAAGTGGAAGGGTAACACCGGCGACGGTAACGAAAGCGACAGCGGCGGTGAACTACAGGGAAACGAGAAGGACAAGCAACCTCGGCTGAACAATCTCACGCCTGATTATGACTTGAAGCTGTTTATGGAAGCTCAGGCGATAGCCAGCGAGAAAATCGTAAGTATTTAGTTTCATTTTTATCTGAATTTTGATACAATATTACACAGTAATATAGTATCTTATAATTTAATTAGCATTTGTTCAAATACAGTAGTTACCCTATAAACACTCTGCTTTTCTACATATGTACGTGTATGTTTTTTTTTTATGTCTAAGGAAAAGGAATTAAAAGAATTGGACTATGATGGCGAAGGTAGAAACGGCGGTGGCACGCGAGTCGTCGAAATGGGAAAATGGGAAATGGAAGTTTGGTATCAAAGCCCGTATCCCGAAGAGTACAGTCGTGCTCCGAAGCTTTACCTTTGCGAATATTGTCTGAGGTACGCGAAGAGTCGTCAAGTGCTGAGAAGACACAGAGAGAAATGTTTGTGGAGGCATCCACCGGGACACGAAGTGTACAGGTAAATACATTTCATTAAGTATTCCGCTTTTCTTTTATTATGAAAAATTTTTATTTATAAAGATAAAAAAATAAGGTGAATAAAATATATCGGCAATAATAACGGCAATAATAAATAATCATATGCATGTTTGTTTTCCTTACAGAAAGGACAAGATAGGCGTGTGGGAAGTGGACGGTAAGCGATATAAACAGTATTGTCAGAATCTCTGTTTGCTAGCTAAATTTTTCCTGGACCATAAAACGTTGTACTACGATGTCGAACCGTTCCTCTTTTACGTCATGACAATCGGCGATTCCGAGGGCTGCCATACCGTCGGCTACTTCAGTAAAGTGAGTACCATATTATTACTACCAATTATGCGCCCATCTATCACCCCTGAAATAATCGTACGTGAATTCAAACTTCGCGTTCTGTTGCTTCACGCAGGAATATAATAACAAAATATCTATTGAGAAATAAAATTACGATACGCACGTCATATATTACTCGAAAGAATTTGTTGATCGATTAAGGCGAGAGTCAGTGTGATTAAGTCGAGCCTGTGTGATTTATATGTATCACATTCTTAAACATTAGCACACTAACAAATTTAGCTAGATCTGAACGAAATGTGTAAGTTAGATTGTGGCATTTCTTAAATAGACGTAATATCGTGTATGATATTTTAAACGTCATTATATCGCGCGGAATTATTTTTTTGCGATTGCGATATTTCCTGGCCAGTTGCCACTTTACTGCTATGAAGAAATTTATCATATTAATCAAAATCCATAATATAATCTTTTTATCATCTACAATAATAATCGATCTGATGGATCGTCACATTAATTTCTATTGATCATGAATGAGTGAAAATAAAATAAAATTGATAAAAAGATATATTTATAATTTTGTACCGTTATTATTATTCGTTATTATTATTATTGAAATTGCAACTAGAAGAAATATTATCCCTAATAACAAGCCATTCATACAAAGTCCCAAAGTCGTAGAAATTTAACATTAGTCGACGAGTTTCGTCCGTTTGTGCGATTTTTTTTCGCGGCTTAGCCGGCTGTGAAGTTAGCACTTCATATTCAAAAAACGAAGTTTTATCAAGAGTTTTGTTTGCACTCCAAATAGTTTTACAGTTCCTGTTAAATTTTAGAAATAGTTCCGGCGAAAAACCTAAAAAAGTTGCATCTTAAAAATATGAAGTCTCAACTTCCAGTGGCACCGCAAAATGCAAAAAATGCCATTTAAACCATCGTATCTTATAATTTTCAAAGAGTTTTACAGTTCCTTATACATACTAACAATATAGTTCCGACCCCGACAAATACCTTAAAAAAATTTTTTTAGTTTGGCTGGTACCTCATCTTCCGCTAAAAGTAGCCAGAACTTTTTTGTTTTTGATTGTACAGCTTTAGGTCTTAATAATTTTCGACAGAACTTTTTGGGATGCAAATTGAACTTTCAACAGAAAACTCTGAATTTCCAAAAAAAATTTTATCATTTCTGAATTTAGAAATTTTCAGCTTTCTTGTAACTAAAAGTGATAAGATTTCTATTATTTTCTATTATAGCTTTTTGCTGTTTACTAATCATCAATAGAATTATTAAGAAAAGTAGAAATTTCTAAATAATTATTTTATGTATCTGTAAAAACTATTAATTTTTTTAGTTTCTTTTTTAGTTTTTGTTTTTCTTTTTTGTGTTGTAGGTATGTGTTTTAAAATTATAAGAATGTATTAAAATTTAATGAGGCTATTAATATATCTTAAAGATAATGTAACATTATGTTTAAAATATTAGAAAAAAAATTTTCGTAATTCTGATGACAGTTCTATTTGCACCCTGAAGAGTTTTATCGATAAGTATTATAGTCTCAAGCTAAAATTAAAAACAAAAAAATTCTGGTCATTTTTAGCGGAAGATGAGGTGGCAGTTTCCAGATAAAAAACTTTTTTAGTAATTTTGGCATACTCGGAAACTGTACTATATTGTTAATATGTATAAGGTACTGTAGAACTTTTCGTGAACTATGACATACGATGATTTAAATGGCATTCTTTCGCATTTTGCGGTGCCACGGTAAATTGGCACCTCATATTTTCAAGCTGCAATTTTTTTAGGTTTTTTGGCGGAATTATTTTTAAAATCTATCAAGAACTGTAAAACAATTTGCAAACAAAATTTCTGATAAAACTTTCGTTTTTTGAATATGAAATGCTAACTTCACACCGGCTAGCCGGCTTTCCTAATGGCATCCACGTAGCGTGCACGGATTACGCGAACAAGGGTGCGCCTCCGTAGGGTGTCTCGTATTTCTGACCTTTCTCCATCAATCCGCCAGACCGGGCGTCGTACGCACACATGCGTCGTCTCGAGCAAGGGTGGGACGAATCGCGCGCTCCTATTTACCACGAAACGCAGCATCGCCGAGAGTCGAGATCTTTACAGACGTTCAACGACCTCTGACCCTGGCGTTGGCAAGACACGTTCTCGGTCCTTAACCACCCCCGTCTGAACTCTCTCCCGGAGACGTGACGAAAATTTTCTCCGGATTCGACTTAAACCTTCTCGTACTCCTTAATTCCGTTGTGTCTACGCCTCTCATCGGGATCGCCTCTCCTCCGCGACCGATCCGTCTCCGTCTCGAAAACCCCTTCACTTTGCTTGCTGTTTTCTCTTTTTTTCTTTATCTGTAAAAAACTCACGTCTGAAAGAATATAGAGCGAGAAAGATGAGGGAAAGGATTATCCGCTCTGCAAATTATTACATCAGCGTCTCGACAAGCGGATCGCTTTATTAAACTTTTAGTGCTTCTCCTTCAGTCAATTCTATCGTTTTATTTCGTTCATCGCCGATAAATGGGGACGATCTTTCTCTAATAAAAATCAATGCACCTATAGCACTCTTTTAATAATTAGCCGATTTTAAATTGATTAAAAAATGTTAAAATATAATGCAATTAAAGCGGAATGTTATTGATCGATTATTTTTTTTAGTTATCGTTTCTGATAAAATCTTTTTTTTTTTTTACGGTTTTGGAATCACTCTTTATACTTCATAATAATTAACCAGAAAATTATGAATTTACACGATTACGCGTTTAATTGCGAGTAAAATAATTTGAGCGGCAATTAATGATGTCTGTCGCGATCGATATATGCCTTAAAACTTGTATTTTATCATCCGAGTTTATTCGATATATAGTCGATCAAAGATCTAGGTTGTCACGCACAACTTTGATAGCATAAATTGCATGAAACAGCTAGTCTTTATCGTTACTGTCGAGAGTGTTAAATCGTGTTAAAGCGTAAAAGAGGTCGTGTCCTGAAATATTCAGTTAAGTTCTCAAAGTAATTCCTTCGTTCGAAATTATATCACGGCGTACGTAAGCTCTTCATAAATCCCATGTACGAGCGATTTGTCTCGTGCCAATCTAAAACAATATATCTCAGTTTTTTAAAATGCTCTTAATTTTAATGAAGATATTATAGTCAATATTTATAAATATAATACTGTAAATAATATAATATTAAAAATAGAGTAATAATATAAAAGATAATGCCAGTAAAAGAACTCATCTTCTATTTTTGGTATAATTGAATCACTTATATCACTTTGATTGATATGAAACTTAGATGGGAACAATGCCCTTATCGTATTAATATCTAGGATCCAGGACGAGTAATGATATAAATCTGTGGATGCACGTTATACATACGCGAAAAGAGAGAGAGAGAGAGAGAGAGAGAGAGAGAGAGAGAGAGAGAGAGAGAGACGAAACCTTTTATCTGTGAAAATAGATTGACATTGGCTCTCGTTCCGGAGTATTAATATCAGGGCACACTGATCTCTTCCGACACATCTTTTCTGTCGGGTTCGGGCGGCCGGCAAATTATGTTACACTCTGTATAAAAGGGCGTAACTCGCTTCCTGCATCCGCAGCGGCGGCGGCGGCGCGAAGTCAAAATCTTTATAGACGTTCAATGACCCCGACCCTGGCCAGACGGTCGCAGGGTAACGCCGGCGGAGGTAGTGGCGGCGACGGCCGGGATACGAGGGATGAAAGGTACGAGAAAGACAGAGAGAGGAAGAGAGAGAGAGAGAGAGAGAGAGAGAGAAGCAAGCAGGGGAGAAGAGGAGGACAAGGGTGGCCCTACTGCTGGCGTACGCTATGCATGCGCTTCAGCACACCAGGTGGAGGAGGGGGAGTGTAGGGGGAGTATAGTCGGGTGGTTTAGGCGGTTGGCCGATGGCGGTGGTTGTGATGGAGGTGGTAGTAGCTGCTGCAGAAGGGGGTTGCCGATGGTCGCGGAGGGCGATGTTGGCGCAGGAGGGGAAGGAGGGCGTCGCCTGCCGCATCGGGTCGTCAACCTTTCTGCGGCACTGCGACGTCGTCGTCGGGGTCGTTATTATTTCCTCCTCCTCCTCCTATTCTCCTTCTCCTTCTCATTTACTTTCCAGCATGTCTTTGCACGCTCTCTAGTCGTTCTCGTCGCTCCTTCCTCGTCCTTCCGATTTCTCTTCCAAGTGTCGTTCCTCTTCTCTCTCTCTCTTTCTCTCTTTCCTCGCCGCTGTATTTTTGCACGTCTCTTCCCTCGTCTTCCCGTCGCCTCCTCCTCCCCTCTTTCCTG